ACCTATGCTCATTGCATACATTTTGAAATCCAAGATACATAAATTTCTGAAGAAGGGTCCATACCCGAAACGTCAGCTTTCCTGCTCCTCTGATGCTGCTTGGCCTGCTGTGTTCATCCAGCTCTACACCTTGATATCTTATATATAAATTACAGCTCTTTTGTTACAATCATTAAATTGTAACTTAAATTGCCCATTGTTTCACTTAAAAAGAATTAAACTTCTTTAAATTTAATAATAAAGCATTTAGTAGATATCCATGCTCAGTGCCTCAAATTGTAGGCAAAGAAAAACTCTACAATTCCGTTTAATGTTTTTTCAGCCTTTAGTATAATTTATGTACTTTTTTTGTAGTCAATGTCTTCTACACGCTTTTAATGATAGGCCAAGTTGCTAATAATTCTGGGATATAGTGTGATGTCACCTTTAGTAAAGTTTTTAATGTTGATATGCATCATTGATGCATAGCACTTTTGCACTGTATGAAAGACTCAAATATGTCTTTGAGGGCCAGTTCAAATAATCGTCACCGGAGAACAAGGTTCTCTTCTCCTTTGTCTTATGTTAAATGCCATTGTTGATACGTTAGAAGACTAGTTTTTGAAAGTTAGTTTTTTTGTTATAGAAGATTGTATTTATAAAATTAGTTTGTAGTTTAGTTGTTCAACGATTTTTTTTAAATTCATGGATGTGGGCATCACTCGCTGGACCAGCATTTATTGCCCATTCCTAATTGCCCAGAGGGCAGTTAAGAATCAATCACATTACTCTGAGTCTGGAGTCACATGTAGGCCAGACCAGGTAAGGAAAGCAAATTTTCTTCCCTAAAAGACATTAGTGAACCAGATGGGTTTTTTTCCTGACAATTGGCAGTAGTTTCATGGTCATCATTTGACTCTTACTTCCAGATTATTATCAAATTCAAATTCCACCATCTGCCATTGACAGGATTTGAACCCAGATCCCAAGAACATTACCTGGGTCTCAGGATTAGTAGTAGCAATAATACCACTAGGTCATCACCTACCCCAAAAGCTTGTTTGCACAAATTTCAGTTTTGACTGGTATTATGTAATTCACGCTTGTTCTTGAGATAATTTGCTTCTTGATCACAACCTCCTTAATGGACTCTTCTAAGGATACTTTAAGAAATCAAAAGAAACTCATGAGCCTGTGTTGACTGCCACTGAAGTAACTGGGACAGCTGGTATCAGCCAGAAAATTCCCCGAAGACTTCCTGTTCAGTAATAAGTCCTTCAGTCTCATTAGATTGCATCCGATAGTGCTGAGCTTGATTAAAATTGTGAATAGCACAGAATAAAATGATAGACAGACCTAGACTGGAGGCTAGGTGGATCATGCCTTGTGATCTTCTTTATCTTCTCTATCACAGTCAACTATATATGATAACAAATAAAGCTGTACATCCCCTAACCCATTTGACTTGGATGAATCAGTACTCACTAAAGTGAATGTATATTTTAAAATTATTCAAGCTAGCAAAAGAAAATGACATAAATATCATGACAAGGAAACAATAAAATATTACAACTTAAAAATGTAAGATAAGATGTTATATATTTTAAATTGCAAACATGACTTGGCCTTCCCAATGGTATGATTAATGAGAGTTTAAGGTCAACACCTGTTAGGAGCTTAATATAGAACAAAAGATTATGTATCATGTTGTCATGATTCTTCATTATCCTTTCTTCAGATTCACATTGTACCTCTACATTCTGTACAAAAATGACCTCTTTATGCCTTCTGATTTAGTTTTTCTGATATCCAAGGAATGAACAAGCCAGCAGATCACTTTTTGCATCATTTTGCTGTATTTAGCAAAATTGCAAAAACTACTCTGCTGTTAAATTTATTCACTTTTATTAGTTACATCAGCTGAATTAGCTGAAGACCTTTCTAATTTTCTTTACACAAGTGGTTTGAAAGATATGTTGATAGACTTGGGTTTCAAATTGTGTTTCTCTTTGTTTTTTAAATTTTCTTCCCCAGTCTTCTGGGCCTAAAAGTCCAATCAGTCAGTACCTTTTTTTAATTATGTAAATATTTCTTTTCACATTTGACATTAACTGTTACACTGTCCTTTCTGGACTCTGCTTGATTTTCAGGGGGCTGGCATTTTCCCTTTCTGAGGAGACTGTAATATATGAACAGTGTCAGTTATTTTTGTCCTTTTTGATTGTCAGATTTCCTTTTGCCTTTTGACATGAGTTGTAATGAAAGAAGATTTTTTAAAAAATATTGTCCATTTTGACAAGCCGTTTTTTTCTCTTGGTGTTAAGTATTGGGCACTGGTATGTAGTTAAGGGATTGGAACTACTTTGTTGAAGTAATTGGATGTCAATATATGGGGACATGAGACAAGTGCGTCGGGCTGTAGATTTCTTTTATATTTCCTGGAATATGAGCTTTGGTGCAAGGCAGCATTTGTTGCCCATCCCAAATTACCCTTGACAAGTGAGTGGTGATAAAAAGTTGAGATGTTACACTCCATCTTCTGCAGATGCACCCATGGTGTTATTATTTTACTTTTGTCACATTCTTAGGAAAGCCCTTCAAGCCTGTCTGCCATTCTTGATCATGCCATACAATACAATACAATACAGCACAGAAACAGGCCCTTCAGCCCACCAAGCCTGTGCCGATTCCTAATCCTTACTTAGACTACTACTTATTGCCCATACACAGTTTCAATCCCTCTGTTCGCCTCCCGTTCATGGGTCTATCAAGGTACACCTTAAATGTTGTTAACATGCCTGCTTCCTCCACCGCCACTGGCAGTGCATTCCAGGCACCCAACATCTTTGTGTGAAAAATTATTCCCGTACTTCTCCCCTAAACTTGCCGCCTCTCATCTTGAACCTGTAACCTTTTGTAATTAACTTTTCTGGGAAAAAAACTTATGACTATCCACACTGTCTATGCCTCCCATAATTTTGTAGACCTTTATCAACTTGCCTCTCAGCCTTCATCTTTCCAGTGAAAACAATCCGAGTTTATCTAACCTCTCCTCATAACTAAGACCCTCCAAACCAGGCAACATCCTGGTAAACCTCCTCTGCAGCCTGTCCAAAACGTCCATGTCCTTCTGGTAGTGTGGCAACCAGAACTGCATGCGGTATTCCAAATGTGGCGTAACCAAAGTTTTATACAGCTGTGACATAACTTGTCAACTTTTATATTTGATGCCCTGGCTAATGAAGGCAAGCATCCTGTATTCCTTTACCACCTTATCCACCTGTATTGCCACTTTCAGGGATCTGTGAACCTGTATGCCCAGATTTCTCTGTACGTCAATGTTCTTAAGGGTTCTGCCATTCATTGTATAGTTTACACCTGATTTTGATCTTCCAAAATGCATCACCTTGCATTTGTCCAGATTAAACTCCATCATATTCTGCATTATTACCATATTCCTTGATGTCACTACTGTCCTTTATCCAACTATCTTCAGCTGTTTCAATAATGTCCTTCCGTCCATTATAAGGTCACAAGTGGGGATGTTCACTGATGACTGCATAGTGTTCAGCACTTTTTACAACTGCTTAGATAATAAAGCAATTGATGCCCACATGCAACAAGATGTGGACAATAACTAGACTCAGGCTGACAAAAATGGCAAGTAACATTCACACCACACAGGTGCTACCCATTGCCACATGACGTTCGGTAGTAGCATCATCACTAAATCCTGCACTGTCAACATCCTGGAATTGCTACTGACCAGCAGCTGAACTGGACTAGTTATATAAGTACTGAGGCTACAAGAGTAGGTCAGAGGCTATGAATCCTGCAGCAAATAAGTCATCTCCTGATTCTTTAAAGCCTGTCAAAGCACAGGTCAGTTGTGCGATGGAATACCCCCAATTGGGCGGATGAATGCAACTCCAACATTTGAAGCTTGACACTGTAAAGGACAATGGAGCCTGCTTGATTGGCACCACATTCACGTATGTTGAGTCCCTCCATCACTGAAAGGGAGCAGTGTGTGATACCTACAAGGTGCATTGCAAAAATTTGCATAGGTTCCTTAGACAACACCTTTTCAGCCTGCAACTGCCACCACCTCAAAAGGCAAGGGCAACAGATAGATGGGAACACCACCACCTGCAGGTTCCCTTCCAAGCCACTCACCACTCAGACCTGGAACTATAATGCCATTCCTTCAGTGTCACGGGGTCAAAGTCCTGGAACTCCCTCCCTGATGGAGGGTTTGAGATATAAAGATAGGCTGGATAAGCTGGGACATTTTTCAATGGAGCCTAGGAGGTTGAGAGGTGACCTTATAGAGATTTATAAAGCAATGAAGGGTATAGATAAGCTGAGTCTTTTCCCTGGGGTGGGGTATTTCAAGACTAGGGGCATATTTTTGTGAGGAGAGAAAGATTTAAAAAAAGACATGAGAGGCAATTTTTTTACTGAGAGAGTGGTTCTTGTATGGAATCAGTTTCCAGAGGAAATGGTGGATGCAGCTACAGTTACAATGTTTAAAAGACATTTGCGTAGTACATCTATAGGAAAGGATTGGAGGGATATGGGCCAAACGCAGGCAGGTGGGACTAGTCTAGTTTGGGGTTGTAGTCGGCATGGACCGGTTGGACCGAAGGGCCTGTTTCCGTGCTGTAGGTTTCTATGACTGTAATAGAAAAGTAGGTCCACCTACAGCAAATGGACTGTAGTCGTCCTAGAAGTCATCTCAGCACCACATTCTCAAAGGCAACTAGGGATAGGCAATGAATGCTGGACTAGTCAGCAACATTCACGTCCTGTGAATGAATAAGAAAAACAACCAGGAACCTATAAATCTCTGTCTTGAACTTAAGGACTGAACTTCCATACCTCTTTAAGGTAGAGAATTTAAAAGATTTATCACGCTCTGAGTGAAGCAGTTCCTCCTTATCTCAGTCCGAAATGACTTATTAAGGAACTGGAGATGTCATTGCCAAAGTATTGATTTTGTTTAACTGTTTCATTTTCAGAATTTTCCTTCTTTGATCCACATGACCCAGCATGCAAAAGAATACTACGTGATCTTAACACAACTGTTTCAGAATTGTTTGCTATCTTGCGTCAGTGGGTCCCACAAGTGCAGCAACAGATTGATGTGATTGGGAATGAGGTAAACTAAAATTGCATGTTTGTATTTACTGTACTAAGTAAAATTTGTTTTTAGTGAGGCTTGTAAATTTGTAATGTGAATAAAACATAACGTCTCCTTGATCTTTTATGCCTACCTGTTGATTTGAATAGACAAAAGCCCCAAAATAGAATCTCTCAAATATGAAAGCCCTGCACTTGTATTTGCTTGAAAACTTGTCAATATTACAACCAGGTTTTCCAGTCCAAAAGGGAAAATATTATTTTTCTCTTTTTTTTTCAATTTTTTGAACATTTTATTATAAATCATCCTCAGAGATTTGCATTGTATTTCATTAACCCTTAAAAATGTTCTTGTGGGATGAGTATAAAAAATTGAAAAGCTTTCCTGATGGCAGGTTTTTGAATGTGTGTCTAAAGCTTGAAGATAAATATAGGGGGATAGTTGAGCATGTGTAAAAGTAATTATTTTATAGAGATATTGGATCACACAGACTTGAATCCTGGATCTGTAGAACTGCAGATAAGATGCCCTCTCTTACCATCTTCTGTTTATAGCTATTTTTAATAAAACTTGTTGCTGTTCACTTACAAGTGTGTACACCTTTCAAGTGTCTACCACTTTCCTTCCCAGATTTCTGCACAAGTTTAGTTGCAAATCACCAAATGCAAAATCTGCCATGAAACACCTCACCAGACAGCTTTTTTTTAATATTTTGCTTTACGGAAAGTTTAATACATATGAAAATGATATCCGAAAATAAATTGATGTTAAATTGTTGAAATGGACTTTTAGAAAATACACAGAAATAATTTCTAGTTTGATTGGGATACCATAGTCATCAAACAATGTAAAAAAAATCAATTTTTTCGTTCAAAATATACCTGTTAGTGTCCCTGAAAGTCTGAGAAAGGTAGCAATTAGTGGAAACTGGCAGTAGTGATTAATTCATCCTGGTGTGTGCTCAGTCCTATGAGTGTGGTGTGATGTAGCATGGCATTTTAAAAGCTAGTGCAAATGATTGTGAATAGTTGAGTTGCGGTGAATGCAATTTGTGCTTAAAATTCTATGAGCCTTTGTGCCAGATATATAATACCAGGTTGGTTTCCCAATGGAGCACTCAAGGAATGAAATTAAAGGGAACAGAAGCTTGTAAAGGGATATTTTGCTGGGTTCAGCCAACTAGATCACCTTAATGCAATGAATATTAGAATTGCCTGAGTCAGAGCATGTGATTTTGTAAAGAAAACTTCTTCCAAAGAAAGTCAAGCAAGTTCCTTTTTTTAAAGAATGCATACGTTGTCTGATTACGATAGGATTGTCTGAACAAAGAGTACAATCCCATGTATCTCAATTCATTGTGGATTATCAGTTTTTGTGTGGAATTAAGTATAGAAAGCAAATGAACCTTCTATTCATTGTTCTGTTGGAAATACTGCTTTAGATTCTGAGTCGAGGATGCCATGTGAATGACAGAGATGGATTGACAGATATGACATTACTACATTACACTTGCAAAGCTGGAGCTCAAGGAATTGGTGAGTTATACGTCATGTGTTTCTTTTTATTGTAGATACAATAACATTTTACTTTTTACCCTCTTATTATCTTCTCCCTTCGTCTTTTGCCTGTTTTCTTGACAGGAGTATTTCCTATTTTGGAACCAGTTTGATTGCTATGAGAGTGGTTGCCCTGTAAGAGTCTGTTAGCATAGGGAAGACGTGGCATCTACGCTACGGAGTGCAGACAATCATGAATCTTTATCCTGCATTACTGGTTGTTGCTTTTATCATGGGACAGAGCACTGACCTGGGCCTCTGAGTCCAGGCTGGCTGTGTCTGGAGGGACAACCTCCTTTTGATGGACTGGTCAGCATGAAAAGGACTGTCTTCCTCTCCAACATCCCTCTACTAGTTCCTCCAGGTTTCTGTCTGTAAACCAGGGAGCAAACTTTGCTTTCTGGACCATTTCCTCAATGATGATGATAGAGTATCATAGTGTGAGGAACAGTTCTTGGCTTGCAGCATCTGAAGTGATGAGCAGCTGAGCTTCAAAAATGGCACCTGCGATGTGAATACCGGAAGATCCCAGCAGTGACAAGCATTTTCACCTTGCCTGATCTGTGATTGGATGTGTGAGAACAGTGCAGGAGAGCCAGGATGTGTAAGTTGTGAAGTGAAGAAGACTACATGAGAAAAATCACTTTAATCGCCGTGAATCTCATTTGGCAAAACATTTTACATCAAAATGTCAAAATGTAGTCATTGGTTCTGTTGTAGTCTCTCCAGTCATCCCAGTTTTATTTAGTGGACTGATCACGAATCAATCCTAAAACTTGCCATTTAGACAATCAAATTAATGTTTCTTAAAGTCATTTCATGTAGAGACATGTATATGATAAAGTACATAAATCCAATACTGAAGACTGTTGGAATTGTTGCAGTATGAAAACAGAGACAGGACCTACCTCTGTATTTTTATCAACTGCTGAATGAATGGGGCCAAATAAGATAATAAAAAAAGCTTGCTTTCTATGAATTCGTCCTCACCCAATACACCATAGAAAGAGAACTATATCTCAGTATATGACTGCTCCTCACAGAGTGAATAATTCCATAGTTTTTCCAGTTGGTGGCATGTTATACCACTACATATTTATAGAAATTATGTGGGCTGTTGACCAGTTAGGACAGATCTTCTTCTGTCGTGACTGATTTTGCTGTCTTGTCTTCTTGAGCTTGCAGTTGAGTTTGCGTGATCAATTTTCTCATTTGAGCTTTTCTCAGTTCTTAAGAAGACTCAAAGTTAACTGTGTTTCTCTCTCCACAGATGCTGCCAGACCTGCTGAATTTCTCCAGCATTTCATCTTTTTATTTCAAAGTTGCTGAGTTGTTTAGACCTTACAACGTAGTACTAAAAAACACTATCGGCAAAGACTTGGAACAAGGTCAACTGTGTACACTTTAAGGTTTTAAAGTAAATTTGTAACTCGGGTTGTGAATGTTGTGGTTGGTTGGCTCGCTGAGCTCGTTTGTTGTTCCGCAGACGTTTCATTACCCTGCTGGGTAACATCATCAGTGCAGCCTCCAATGAAGCGCTGTTGTGTTTTCCTGCCTGTTATTTAAACTCTGGTGTCCGTTGAACTGGATTACCTCACTTCCGGTTTTCCTTCACAATGGAGTGTATATGGGGTCTAGCTGTATGTGTTTATTGATGGCTTCCTTAGTGGAGAACCAGGCCTCTAGGAATTCCCGTGTTTGTCTCTGCTTTGCCTGTCCCAGGATCCTGGTGTTGACCCAATCGAATTGGTGGTTTTCCTTATCCATGTGGATGGAGATGAGTGAGTATTGGTCATGTCTTTTTGTTGCCAGTTGATGTTCGTGTACTCTTGTGGTTAATTTCCTTCCTGTCTGTCCAATGTAATGATTGTCGCAGTCTTTGCAGGAAATCTTGTGTATGACATTGGCCCTGTCCATAGTGGATCGTGGGCCTTTGGTTCGGGTGAGCAGTTGGCGTAGGGTTGATGTGGGTTTGTGTGCTACTCTGATGCCCAATGGTTGTAGGAGTCTTGTGATCAGTTCAGATGTGTTCTTTATGTAAGGTAGCATGATGAGTGTGTCGGACCGGGTAGTATCTTCCTGGTGTTGTTCGTTTAATAGGCATCTTCTGACCCAGTTTTTTGGGTATCCATTGTCTTTGAATACTTGGAAGAGATACTCTTCTTTTTGGCGTAGTTTTGTGTTGCTGCAGTGTGTTGTTGCCCATTTAAATAATGTTCTCACGCAACTTCGTTTGTGTGTTAGGGTGGTTGCTGTTGAAATTCAGTACTTGGTCAGCGTGTGTGGCCTTGTTAGGAATTCCCCATTTGTCCTGCGTTCCACCACGATGACCAGGAATGGGACCTGTTTGTTCTTTTCCTCTTCTCTGGTGAATTTGATCCCAGTGAGGGTGTTGTTTATTAGTTTGTGTGTACACTTTCATAGTTCAAAATAACATAAAACAAGAGAATTAGTTCTCATGGGATGTTGGAAGTTGTACATTTGGGGAAAAGTAATATCTTTTCTTTTAGACATAAAACATAGGATGAAAGTTAGACTTTGTTTGCCTCATGGCATAATTCTTGTACTAGACTCAATGATCTGAACGCACAAGTAGCAGTGTATTTGGTTGAAGATATCCCAAGAGGTGCTGAGAAAATATTTTTGTATTGCATTTTTATTTAGTGAAGTTTCTGTGGTCGATGATTCTCCGTGCAAGTTTACATTAAACATTGTGATTGAACATTGCCCTGCTCCCTCAATGTATCTTGAAAACCAGTGGCATCTTTCATATTACTTCATGGTGACATATCATTTGTACTACACCTTATCACCCCAGAGTGTCTTTTTTCTAAAATTACATTTTTATTTTTCCAGGAGATGCAGAAATTGCTGCCAAGTTTGCTTCACAGTTGATCGACATGGGAGCTGATGTCACTCTTCGTAGCCGTTGGACAAATATGAATGCTTTGCACTATGCAGCTTACTTTGATGTTCCTGAGCTGATAAGAGTAGTTCTAAAGGATGCAAATGCTGGAGGTAGGCAGTCAAGTACTTAATTTTACAAGGGAATATATATAGGCTTTCCTTCCTTGTTTTCTTTACAATTAGAATTTTACAAGTTTCATAAAGGATGGCATTAACTCTCCATTTTTATAATTATCCTTATTTACAAAATTGCAATTAAATGCGTATAAATTGCTCCCAACAGTTTTGGAGTACTAGATGAGAATATATTTGGCATGTAATTAACTAGAACAATGTTAAAAACATAAGTTTGGAAGTAGTAATAGTCTCACTGTATTCTGTTTTGCTCTCAAATAGAACAATAATTAAATACTATCTTATTTTTCTCAAAGATTATCTTTGCTTTTCCTCTATCTCTGGAATTCATAATTCTGAGGCTTTGTGTATCATCTCATGTTCCTTCCAGTGAAAGGAAACATTGTTTAGTTGATTTGCTTCAGGCATTCGCCTTTTGTGAAAACAAATTAATTGAATGACTGGCGCTTAGAATGTGAGTCAAAGGACAGAGGCCTGGGGGAGGGTTGGAGGCTGAAAGTCTCATGTGGAAGATTGATTGGGAGTGAAACAATCTAAAGCGTTAGAGTGTATTGTCCATGCTGAATCCATTCAGTTGGTGGAAAGACATGTATCATCTGATTTAGCATCACCTTGGTTTAGCTACTAGGTTTTTTGAGGCTGATGAAATCCAACCAAAGTTAAATTTCAAATGATGAATAAAATAGACACTCAGCCTCATTAAGAAACAGACTCATTTCTGTGCCTTCAGCAAATGCCTTAGTTGCATGCCCCCATCCCACCTCTATTAAAACTGGAAGTGAGTGGGTTGGAGGCTGACATATCTTTCTAACCATGTCCAACCCTCACCTGACTTAAACCTTGTTTTTAGGGTTACAGTGCCCAACAAACCCTATTGTAGGTCCCAACCTTTGAAGTAATGTCAACCTCCATACAAAAGCTTAAACTTCTCCTCATCTTATTTTTCTTATGTCAGTGATGGCTAGCAGTCACTTTACAGTCATATTATGGTACAAATGTCCTTGGTGATGTTTGGTTTTTCATGCTGTGTCTTATAGAAAAGACCTGTGGATATTCCTTTAGAACCAGACTCCATTTGTAAAACAATGGTAAAATCATCAGTTATCTAACTTATAAATTCTCAAAGAGATATGGAAAATAATTGAGAAGTATCATTATGAGATTATATACCCTGAGGTTGAACATCTTTTCAAATGTTGAGGAAGAACATGTAGTTAATGTCCAATCATAAATCAAGTTTTTTGTGCTGTGTAGTACTAAACCTCCGACATTATTTCTTTCTTCAGTGGTGGAATACCTACTAAGCTTACATGAATCTTTCTTTATAACGTTGTTCTCTAGTCATGATAATTAACCTGTGGATTTTTCTCCTAATTCTTTCTGGTGCAACTGTGGTTTTTTATGACCTATTGACCTAACGTGAGCTTGATATTCCACCTCTGAATCATTGATTTGTAAATGTCATTGCAACATGTTCTTATAGTCAAGTGCCCTCCACATGCATCCTTGTGCTTAATTGGTCCCATTAATAACTGACTCGCCCGTTCAATGTTCCATTCTGTGATCAGTAATCACAACCAAGTTATTCTTCCATTCTTCTGATGAAGAAGTAAAAGAAAGATTTGTACTCATGTAATAGTTTTCGTCTCAGCCATCTCAGACAATGAGATACTTTTTCAAATGTATTCACTGGTGTAATGTAGAAAACGTAGCCACCAATTTGTACACAGCAAGCTCCCACATGCAACAGTGTGATAATGACCAGATCATTTGTTTTTGTGATGTCAATCAACTGATAAATATTGGCCAGGGCACCAGTGGTAATAACGTTGCTCTTCATTGAAATGCTGCCTTAAAGGAAGGCGACAGCCTAGTGGTGTTATCACTGGACTGTTAATCCTGTTCAGGGGACCAGGGTTTGAATCCTGTCATGACGCATGGTGAAATTTGAATTCAGCTAAAATAAAACTGGAATTAAGAGCCTAATGGCGATCATGAATCCATTATTGATTGTCAGGAAACAAAATGCCATCTGGTTCACTAATCTCGTTTAGGGAAGGAAACTGCCATCCTAGCCTAAACGTGACTCCAGACCCACAGAAATGTCGTTGACTCTTAACTGCCCTCTGGGCAATTCGGTATGGACAATAAATACTGGCCTAGCTAGTGACATCCTCATCTCGTGAATGAATAAATAAAAAAACTCTTACATTTACTAGGACCTGCATATACATGTTCACTATTACCTGTTTTTCTCATCTATAATCCAACATTTATATCACCTTTAGATCAATAATTCAGGTGACCTGCCTAATTCTGTTGTGGGCGAACCTAGGACCAGAGGACATAATATCAGAGTAAATAATTGCCCATTTAAGATAGAGATGAGGAGGAATTTCTTCTCTCAGATGGTAGTGAATCTGTGGAATTCTTTACCACAGAGAGCAGTAGAGGCTGTGTCTTTATATTCAAGGCTATGGTAGACAGACTTTTAATCAACAAGGGAATCAAAAAGGTGCAGAAGCAGAGCTGAGGGTTATCTGTTCAGCCATGTTCTCATTGAATGGCTGAATAGGCTTGTGAGTTGAATGGCCTACTTTTGCTCTTACATGTTGTTTTGTTTAACTGTGACCAAAGTGTTCAATCTATATTTTGCTTATTGTTCATAGAACTTTCTGTCTTTTCCAAATTAAATATACTGGCAACATTTCATTATGATTAGAATTTGTATATGTTACTATGTGAAAATTGATGTGAGGAATCCATTCATCTTGTCTAGCATAATCTAATATGTGTTGCAAGCATTTGCTTTCTGAAGCTCATAAATGGTGTCCAACCTTATATGTGTTTTAGCCATTTCAATTTCGTGCACAGGCCTAGAGTACAAAACTATTTATAATTTACCAGAAAATTGATAATATCACTCAATTCACAGATTGGTTAGTATTAGAGACAAAGGCCATACTGTTCTAGAAAGATATAACGTTCTGGAATTTAAGTCAATATACATTATTCTTACGATATAACATGCAATGTCTGACTGAGGACTGACGTTAGGAGAGACAGTGGTAAAAACATTTTTTTCAAAGCAGTGGTGAACTAAATCTGATGATAAAAACTAAATAATTAATTACAAATAAAACCTAATGACTTCGTTTGTTGTCAGTAAATATTTAATCTGTACCTATTGACAGATGTGGATGCCACTTGCAGCGATTTCAATTTTGGAACATCTCTGCACATTGCGGCGTCAAACCTCTGCTTGTCAGCTGTGAAATGTTTATTGGAACATGGAGCCACTCCTGTCTTTAGGGTAAGAAACTGTAGTATTTTAAAATTAACAGACCCAGTTTTCAGAAATAGTGCAAATACCCAAATGAATTTGTATTTAATTAGAAAATGCAAATGCAAATCTCTGTTCAAAATAAGTTAATTGGAACACTTAGAGATTAGCCATTTGTTAAAAATTACATGAAATGGAACTGGAGTGCCTTGACAACGCAGTCCACTTCAATGCATTATATAATTCACTTCACACCTCAATGCAGTTCTTATGGAAAGAACCAGAGAAGTAATACCAGCAAAACTGTCCATAGCAGAAAAGTGAGAACCCGTGGGCAGGGGGAAAGCATCCTTTATGTAAATATACTCAGGCAAGTTATGTCAAATTGTTGCCACCGGTAGGGCATTTTCTTTTGGCTTCCGGCATATATTTTAGTTTTGGGTTAGATGTCCATCTACTACACTATTCCATCAATATTTAAGCTTACATTAATAAAGTAAATAACTAAGTAGAAATGGCTGGACAGGTGATGTATTGTAGCTGTATGATGTGGGAGCTGGCTGATCGCATTGCGAACTGCAGTGACCACATCTGCAGCAAGTGTTGGTTGCTCGAGGAACTTCGGCTCAGAGTTGATGAGCTGGAATAGGAGCTTCAAACACTGGGGCACATCCGGGAGCGGGAGGAGTACCTGGACAATTTGTTTCAGGAGGCAGTCACACCTGGTAGATTAAGTAATTCAAATTTGATCAGTGGCCAGGGACAGCAGCGTGTGACTGTAAGCAAGGCAGGTAGAGGGATCCTGCAGTCAGGAACAGAGGAGCCTCAGCTCTTGACCTTGTCCAACAAGTATGAGGTACTTGCTCCCTGTGTGGATGAGGAAAAGGGCTGCAGGGAGGATGAGCCAACTGACCACTGCACCATGGTACGGGAGGCCATTCAAGAGGGGGAGCAAAAAGACAGGTGGTAGTTGTAGGGGATTCTATAATTAGGGGGATAGATAGTATCCTTTGTAAGCAGGATTGAGAGTCCTGCATGGTGTGTTGCCTGCCCGGTGCCAGGGTAAGGGATATCTCTGACTGGCTTGAAAGGATATTGGAGCGGGAGGGGGAGGATCCAGTTGTTGTGGTTCATGCCCTAACAAACAACATTGGCAAGACTAGGAAAGAGGGCTTGTTCAGAGATTATCAGGAGCTAGGAACCAAATTAAAGAACAGGTCCTCAAGGGTTATAATCTCCGGATTACTGCCCGAGCCATGTGCTAATTGGTATAGGGACATGAAAATAAGGGAAGTAAACATGTAGCTAAAAGAGTGGTGCAGGAAAGAGGGGTTCCTTTTCATGGGGCACTGGCATCAGTATTGGAACAGGAGGGATCTGTACCATTGGGACGGTCTCCACCTGAATCGAGCTAGGACCAATGTTCTAGCGAAAAAAAAAATAGGCTGTTCAACAGGACTTTAAACTAGAAAGGTTGGGGGGAGGGAACGGTGAAACTTGTCCCGGTGGGAAACAAAGCAGCAGGTTAACATCTGTAGTGGTGGATTCAACTAAGTGGAAAAATATGAAAGAAATGATAGAGAAGGAAAATTCAGGAGAGGTTATTACAGTCTCCAGCACAGACACAAACAGGACAGAGTGTTTGGAAAAGGCTAGCAATCAAACACTGGAAAAATGAATGAAAATGAGAAGAGGGAGGGTTAATACAGGACTGAAGTGTTATATCTGAATGCACGCAGTATAAACAATAAGATAAATGAGCATGGCACAGATCGCAACTGGCAGGTATGACGTGCTAGGCATCACGGAGACGTGGCTGCAAGGGTGTCAGGATTGGGAACTGAATATCCAAAGATATACATCCTATCGAAAAGATAGGCAAGTGGGCCGAGATGGTGGGGTTGCCTTATTAGTGAGAAATGAAATTAAATCAATAGGAAGAAACGAAGTAGGGTCAGATGGTGTAGAATCTGTGCGGGTCGAATTGATGAACCGCAAAGGTAAAAAAAACCATAGTTGGAGTTGTGTACAGGCCTCCAAACAGTAGTCAGGAGCTGGGGTGCAGGATACACCAGGAGATAGAAAGGCAAAGTCACAGCGATCATGGGGGATTTCAATATGTAGGTGGACTGGGAAAATCATGTTCATAGTGGATTGCAAGAAAAGGAGTTTGTGGAATGTCTACGAGATGGCTTTTTGGAGCAGCTCATGGTGGAGCCCACAAGGGAACAGGAAATACTGGATTTAGTGTTGTGCAATGAGGCAGACTTGATAGAGGAGCTTAAGGTAAAGGAACCCTGAGGAGGCAGTGATGATAAGATGATAGAATTTACTCTGCAATTTGAGAGGGAGAAGATAGAATCAGAGGTAACAGTATTACAGATGAATAAAGGTGACTACAGAGGTATGAGGGAGGAGCTGGGCAGCATTGACTGGAAGAGGAGCCTAGCAGGAACGACAGTGGAACAATGGCAGGAGTTGCTGGGAGTAATTCAGGAGATGCAGCAAAAATTCATCTCTAGGGAAAAAAAGCATGGTACAGGGAGGATGAGGTAACCATGGCTGACTGAGGAAGTCAGGGACAGCATAAAAGCAAAAGAGAAAGCATATAATGTGGTGAAGGGCAGTGGGAAACCAGAGGACTGGGAAGCTAACAAAGACCAACAGAGAGCAGCAAAAAAAGAAATAAGGAGGGAGAAGATTAAATAGGAGGGTTAGCTAGCCAGTAAGATAAATGAAGACTGTAAGAGTTTCATCAGGTATATAAAGGGCAAAAGAGAGGCAGAAGTGGACATTGGACCACTGGAAAATGACGGTGGAGAGATAGTAGTGGGGAACAAGGAAATGGCTGAGGAACTGAATAATTACATTGCGTCAGTCTTCACGGTGGAAGACACGAGTAATCTCCCAAAAATTGAAGAGAGTCAGGGGGCAGAGCTGAGTATGGTGGCCATCACCAGGAAAAGGTGCTAGTAAAATTGATTGGCCTGAAGGTGGATAAATCACCTGGACCAGATGGACTATACCCCAGAATTGTAAAGGAGACAGCTGAAGAGGTAGTGGAAGCGTTAGTGGTGATCTTTCAGGAATCACTAGAGTCAGGGAGGGTCCCAGAAGACTGGAAAATCGCTAATGTGACACCCCTGTTTAAAAAGGGAGTAAGGCAAAAGACGGAAAATTACAGGCCGATTAGCCTGACCTCGGTCGTGGGCAAGATTTTGAAGTCCATTGTAAAAAATGAGATTTCTGAATATTTGGAAGTGTACAGTAAAATAGGGCAAAGTCAGCACGGTTTCATCGAGGGGAGGTCATGCCTGACGAATCTGCTAGAATTCTTTGAGGAAGTAACAAGCAGGGTAGATCAAGGAGAGCCAATGGATGTTATCTACCTGGACTTCAAGAAAGCCTTTGATAAGGTGCCACACAGGAGGCTGCTGAGTAAGATAAGGGCCCACGGTGTTGGAGGCAAGATACTAGCATGGATAGAAGATTGGCTGTCTGGCAGAAAGCAGAGAGTAGGGATAAAGGGGTCTTTCTCGGGATGGCAGCCGGTGATGAGTGACGTACTACAAGGGTCGGTGCTGGGACCACAACTCTTCACTTTGTAGATTGATGATCTAGATGAAGGAACTGTGGAAATTCTGGCTAAGGTTGCAGACGATACAAAGATAGGCGGAGGGACAGGTAGTATTGAGGAGTGGCGAGGCTGCAGAAGGACTTGGACAGGTTAGGAGAGTGGGCAAAGAAGTGGCAGATGGAGCACAACGTGGGAAAGTGTGAGGTCATGCAATTTGGTAAGAAGAACAAAAGCATAGACTATTTTCTAAATGGGGAGAAAATTCAGAAGTCTGAAGTGCAAAGAGACTTGGGAGTTCTCGTCCAGGATTCTGTGAAGGTAAACTTGCAGGTTGAGTCAGTAGTTAGGAAGGCAAATGTGATGTTGGCATTTATTTTGAGAGGACTTGAATATAAAAGCAGGGATGTACTACTGAGGCTTTATAAGGCTCTGGTCAGGTTCATTTGGAGTATTGCGTGCAGTTTTGGGCCCCATATCTCAGGAAGAGTATACTTGCCCTGGAGCGGGTTCAGAGGAGGTTCACGAGAATGGTCCCAGGAATGGAAAGCTTAACATATGAGGAATGTTTGAGGACTCTGGGACTATACTCATTGGAGTTTAGAAGGATGAGGGGGAATCTAATTGAAACTTTCAAAATACTGAGTGGCCTGGACAAAGTGGATGTTGGGAAGATGCTTCCATTGGTAAGAGAGCCTAGGACCCAAGGGCACAGCCTTAGAGTAAAGGGAAGACCTTTTAGAACAGAGATAAGGAGAAACTTCTTCAGCCAGAGAGTGGTGAATCTATGGAATTCACTGCCACAGAAGGCTGTGGAGACCAGGTCATTGAGTACATTTAAGACTGAGATAGATAGGTTCTTGATTATCAAGGGGATCAAGGGTTACGGGGAGAAAGCAGGAAAATGGGGTTGAGGAACCTTTCAGCCATGATTGATTAGCGGAGCAGACTCGATTGGCCGAATGGCCTAATTTCTGCTCCTATGTCTTATGGTCTTAAGATATTAAATGCAATATTACTGTGATAAAATGTTAAAATATTAGGAGCCCTGACTTATTTATGGAAATAAAAGATCTCTGAAAAATTACATGCTCTGGAATACTAATGTAATATTTTAATTAATTAATCTGATTTGTCAGCCGTATTTTACATAAGCAATTACGGTGGCTGTGGAGATTAGCGGACCAACCACTATTTTGAAATTTCTAATTAGCAAGCTATTGAGCTTATTCATGACCCAAACACCTGCTTCATTTTTAGTTTCAAATGAGCAAAAATTCTGAATGTTTTCAGCATTTATAATGAGGCAGCCCAAAGAAAAGGGCTGCTACTAGGACTATAGTGGTTGAATGCAGCAACTGATTCTGATGCAGGCGGTCTAGTCTATTCTGTAAACTTGTGGCTGTGACCAACTTCATGGCAGTAGCCCTCTGCTGTTTTATGCTCAGTCTATAAT